ACACACATCACAATGCCAGCTTGATCCCAGTCATGCGTCCTGGCTAATGCCGCCTGAGCGGGAAAAGGAATAGAGAATTTACTGTGTTTGATGGAGGCACCTTGCCACACATCCACACTCACTTCTGCAAAACCATTAAAACCGCACATGCTGGCCTTCATACCAGCCCACTTCTAAACACACACATCAACCGCAGTCGAGCACACTCCCATTGCCATATGGTGGCGATGACTTTCTGCCCCAGTTGAGCGAGCTGCTCCTGGGACACACATTTGGGTGACGGGGACAATGCCTGCAGTATTGATTTTTCACACCAGTCCTGTTATTTGACCTAATTAGGCCCAAGATCACAATATGACCCTCAACAGAGCCTCGGGCAGCAAGACAACGTGAGACTCAGGAGGTCAGCCGAGCACCATCTTAAGTGGTCGCCTGAATGAAAAAGGATGACAGAGACCTGGATTCTTGGGGAGAAAATAAAAGTCCTGTCGCTTGTGAGTTGTGCAATTTGAGGAAAAGGGAGCGATATTAATGGACTCAAGTTTCTTCTGCTTGTGTTTGGTGCTATCAGCCTTTACTAGTGGTCATCCAGCTGTGCGTCAACATCAGAAAGTTGTGTTACTGAAACACGCACGGCTCCGTTTCAGCTTAAATTCAGAGAAAAAACAGGTCAAAAGCTAGAAAAACTGGTCTCATCCGGATGTATCACTGAACTGTCGAAATCGTTGTCAAGTCATCAAAACACATGACAAGCCGGAGGCCGAGCTTTCAGGATGGAAATATTGAGACGTCACAGAGCATCAGCACTAAACGTGCACTTCTCTGTTCAAAAAGACAAGAAAGGGGAAGAAGGAGTGCTTAGCTCAGCTTTCTTGCTTTTTTTCAATGGAAAACACGGCATCATCGAAACTCTCCGTCCCCTCCTCCTTTGTCCCTGTTTTCCCCTGTATAGAGTCACTTCTGTGTTTTCCAGTGAATGACCAGCGGAGGTTATTGAACTGCCCTGCTGGTTACTGTAAGCCAGCGGGTGGTAATATTCCCTCTGCTGGGGGTTTTATCGATGGACCCTTAATCACATTGCCCCGTCACAGAGGAGGAAAACTGCAGACTTTAAAATGAAGCAGTAACACTCACTGAGATGTGTGGAGATGTTGACACGCAGTTCTGTGCAGCAAGGACCCAAAACCAAGTCATGCCTTTTATTCCTTCTTGTCACAACTCCTCCGACGTCTATTTACAGAATGTACCTGTGGAAACAATCTTGTGTGTCCCTGTGCCGGCTGATAATGACAGTCAAGTACACGAAGAAGCAGCGCTGAGGTGTCCCTCTTCGTCTTTGACCTGAACTGTGGACCTGACAGCTGTCAGTAACCGCACAGCAGGGCGATCATACAGAAATAATCAGTCCGACCTCTACCTTTATGGCTGGCATGGTTTCGTAACCTCATGTACGCTGGCTAAAAGCAGAGTAAGAAACCGCAGAGCACTGAAGGCAAAGTCCACGTCCTTAGAGCACAGCACATGCTCGCTGATAGACGTATAAAATAACAAACTGAGACTTTTGAGTTTTTTTTATCACACAAGAATGGATGCACTTGCTGGATTTGTCACAACGCGAAGAAGCAAACAGTACCCAAGCATCAGCAGTTTGTGTGTGGTTATTATGAAACTAATGGTTTTGTTAGCCCTTACATAACTTTATGGAAAGAACTCGCTTGTTTATATAAAAACCTTTATTGGCCTCTTTTCCAACTCCGTGGGCAATCACGGCTCAACGCTGTTGAAAAAACACAGTCAAGGATGAGCTTCTGGCAGCTGCTGCATGTAACCTGAGTGTATGTGGCAGTAATCTAACCTCCAGTCTCCTTAACGGTTCAAACAATTGGCGGAAACATTGCTGCTGAATGGCGGAGGGGGGGGCACGTCAGCCAGGATGTCAGATAGGCAGCGAGGAGGATGATCTTCCCACACTGAAAACATTCATTCTAACTCCACAGTGTGACAAACATCTCATAGAAATTAACATACTGCAGATGAACCTTGGCTCCAATTTTATCTCTGCGCTGATTTCGCCCTGTCAGACTCACAATAGACTGTTAAAAGACGGATCACACTCATTTTTTACTTATCATATATTTCTTCCTTGTCAAAACATGACAACTACATTGCCCATAATGCAACTTGACTGTTAGAGTTAGGTGTATTGTGCTGCTAGCAGTTTTCCTGTAGCAATGAGAAGCAGCCTGGAGGTAACAAGAAGGCGCTTCTTTTATTAGAATCAAAGTGGATTTGTGCTGCATGTGCCAAAAAAAGATTGTCCAAGCTTTAAGGAACCCAGATGTTCCACGTTTGTGCAATTTTGGGCCCATACAGGATGCACATTAGCATCCTTCTCAGCCGAGCATGTAGGAAGCGTGTGCAACCAAGATTCCCGCCATTCAAGCCGGATGACTTTGTGATTTCTCCCCACACACGTGAATGAGATTTTAAACTTTCCTCTAAGCTCAGAATAAATCAAATTCTGATGCTATAAAGAGGAATTTTCTAGCCAGTCAGGCCGACGATTGGATCTGAGATTCAGCACTTCTATAGTTACCAGCATCGCTACTTTTTGAACAGATTTTTGCTGAAAAAAAACAAGAAAAAAAAAGATTAATTTAAAAATGGACTACTTTGGCTTTGCCTTTCTTTATCTGTGGTCTTGAGCAATGTCCTGCTTTTAGCACTATCTGATTGGATTTACACCATGAGTGATAACCTATCAGCAGCATCTTTTAAGTGCAGCACATGTAAAATCTAAATGAACAAAGGCATTTTAAATCATGCTTATAATGGAGGTTTTGACACCAAGATTTAAAATTTTCCAGTTTTTGGTCTTCTTGATTATTGATAACAGTATTGACATCTGCCCTGAACAAAAAAAGTTTATAACACTCAGGAATTAACCTTTTTTCGGTGATTGTATGCAGGGAAAAATGCTTTTTGGGAAAAGTGTGTATTCATCACATAAAGCAAACTAATAGTGCAGTTTGTCCGCTAAACCAAAATCATCGCACAGGCCAGCATTGATACTTCAGGCTAGGCTAATTTCTTTCAAATTTAAAATGCTCTGTTTTTGTTTTGTTTTGTTTTGTTTTTTAACTTTAAACTAGTCCTCAACCCAATGACTGCATATAAAGATGGACAAATCCTCTGTGAGTCACCCACAGATTTCCTAAACAGTGGTTTTGAAGGTCATTGTGGTGAGTCACTATGTTGGTAGTGTCTGATTCCTTCAAACTATTGGCTAATCCAAAAATGAGCCAAGAGGTCAAGTGTAAGTGGAGCTGAGGCACACCACGGACATGTCCCAACCTGTCACTCAAAGCGGTATTTACAACTTTAAGCCTTAATACAATTTAAATGGATGAGCTTCATAAAAATTAAACACCTGTACCGTTGTCAGAAACAGGAAAATTAGCTATAGAGACCAAAATCCGACCTGAAACATGTTTATTTCTGCTTTAACGTTGGACATTTTAACATGGGGGTCTATGGGGATGGACTCACTTTTGGAGCCAGCCTCAAGTGGCCATTTAAGGAACTGCAGTGTTCAGCATTGGTTCCAACCCTAATTGCCATATTTTTCAGACTCTAAGCAGCTCCCACTGAAACCACAACAGGCTTTTTTTCATGCTTTCCAGGACCAATTAATAGATTTGACTACATAAGAGATTAGATTATTTTTGTAGTAATTACATGGGTGTATTGGGTCACTAAATTATTACGGCCTGGGGATTTGTCTTCATAGTGTAACAACCTATCAGCACTGGAGCAGGACAGGCTTCAGTAGTTTGCTTGAAAACTCTCCAGCAGCTTTTAAGACATCAGAGTCTCGGCTCACCAAAAGTGCATGTGCGATTTAAAAACACCAAAAATATTTTCACTTTAGCCTCAATACCCCAAGTACACACATGCAAACAATTAGCCACGGCTAAGCTGGAATAAGCTGTCGCTGCAGGTTGTTTTCTGGTAATCGCTCTGTTATGAGGAATCTGCGACGTCACAGAGGAATCAAATAGAGACGATTTAACAGCGACGCATGTTCTCTGGCATGAAGTGTAATGTCAGCAACATTTAGGTTATTCCAGTTATTCTCTTTAAAATGACACATATTAAAGTCATTATGGGTTCCCAAGTAAACTGACTAATGCCTTTTCTGTGAACTCTGACCAGTCAGCAACCACACAAACACATAACAAGCGGTAGTACAGTAAATGTGAATTACTGTCTTTCACAAGAGGTCAGCTGTCCTCCCGTCTGTGCCACAGCAGTCTCAGCGATTGCACTATGAGCTGTCGACTTATTGCATAAAATTTCATTTGTTGAGGCCAAACTGAGGAACTGAAAATGACAAACCAGTTGATTGATTCATTTCTCAGCTCAACAGATTGATCATCTAAACGTGTTTTTTGGCTTCACCCTGCACCCTGTGCTCTGCTGGGATGCAGGATGTCTACCTGTCGGCTGCTCATGTGACCAACCAGGCTGCAGCTGCTTCCCAGATTTACTCTTTAACTGTAGTCAAATTACGCTTTTGTTCATGTGGAGACACAAGCAGAACACAGTGTTTTTCTTTTCCTATCACTCTCTTCGACTTTCTCACAGCCACCAAACACATCCAACAAACAGTCCTTGGTTGGGTGACAAACACTGCTCATATCTCTGCTCTTCACTGCGTATCTTCAAATGTTTATAATTCCACACATCTTTTCTCAGAGATTTCCAGTTCCCTTTCCATTTCCATCCTTGAATCTAGCAACCTAACCTTTGACACCAAACAACACCGCTCAACACCTCGCACACTCCAAACAAAAGGACGGCACAGGAAGGCCATTCAGGAAGGCCAACATCTGCCGGATTGTTTACGGGGACTGGGACTACCTGTGCTTCCCAGGAATAAATAAAAAACAGATTCCAACAAACAGAACAGTCATGTGTACTGCATGTGCTGTACTGACCCAGTGGCGTGGGCTGCTCTCCGGGGAGCGAGGCTGGTACCTCTGCAGGGCAACACCTCCTTCCCCCTCCAGCAGTAAGCTGCAGTCCAGGTCGAGGCAGTGCTGGCTGGGACCTGCAGGCCACGGCAGCAGGGTGGCCAGAGGGTACTGGGAGATCATGCTGACCGCCTGCATCAGCGGCAGGGGTGACAAGGAGGGCAGGCCATACTCCAGTCTGGACGGCAGCGTGGATGGAGGCTGTAAAAATGCGAAATGAAGAGCCTTATCTTCAGGATAAACTTCTTGTCAGTCCTCTCAGACTGAACTTGTCTCCAGCTCAGAGGTGTGACTGATGATGAAAACTCTCCTCTCCAGTCTCTATCTCGCCCTTTTGTTTTTTTTTTTTTTTCAGAGGTGTGACTGATGATGAAAACTCTCCTCTCCAGTCTCTATCTCGCCCTTTTGTTTTTTTTTTTCTTCTTCCCTCTCAGCGGCTCGTGGAACTCGGCTTGCCAACAGCTCTTAACCACATGAGTGATTAAAGTCTATTGTCTCTCTCTTTCTTTCCTCAGCCCTTACATTCATCACAGCCAGAGGGGAGGAGTTACAACTCGGTGGCCCGGCCCACCTTAACTCAAAAAACTGCCCACTGACTAAAGAGACTTTGAATGTGAAGAAAAAAGGAAAGAACGACAGGAAAGCTGAGATAGAAGGGAGGATGTTGCGGAAGAGTTTCCAAGAATTAATAACAATGGTGACTATTTTCCATGACTTTCATTCTCAAGAATCCCAAGCTGCGCTCATTAAATCTTCAAACAGAGTTCAAATAAGATTCTTGTTGTTCTGAATGATTGCCATTGCTTGTTGTTTTGCCATATTTTTAAAACCGTCCTTACTTCTCTTGCTGTAAGCTTGTTAAATAGTCTTATACTTGTAGTTTCTGTTTCATTTGACGTGTTTAAGAAGTGTGTGTTGACTCATGTACATTAATCATGTTGCTGGGCATCCAAAAATAATAAATACAACATGAACAGTAATAAAAACATACACGATACAGATAGGAAACATAAACAGTCCAGTTAGATACAGTTAAATAAACATATATGTAATAAACTTAACAATGCAGATATAAAAGTTTATAGTATTTACAGTGTTTATAGTCGATAGTCTTGTACTTCTAGTTGCTCTGTTTGCAGCAAAAGAATGAAGCCAGCCAGGGGAAAAGGAGCTAAAGCACATAAAGCTTATTAACTAGATGCACAAGTTTGAGGTTTCCAACCTAAACAGGTTTGACTTCTTTAGAATTTGTCAGTGATGAAAACATTGTTTTTCATACAATGGTCAATTTTGAGATTTTTTTTTTTTTTTTTTTGGCATCCATAATAATACATGTTTAGATGTTTATTTTATTAAACGTAGCATATTGTAAATTTAATATAAAAGAGTGTATAATAATACATCATTTGTGTATTTCAACATAACATTTCAGAAACGTTTCATGGTGATACCTATTCGATTTTGTTATGGCCTGTGAATAGTGTTTTCCAGTGAACATTTGTTAAATTTTACAAATCAAACACTGTAAAACAATTAAATTAAAACTGTAATTTTCCATAAATTTTGCCCTATAATAACATGTGTTTCTGAATTGACTTACTAATGTAAAATAACACAACAAACCTGTAACTGTGGATAACCATACGGACATACTTGTTACAATAAATTTTATTGTAACATTTTCTTTATATTCAAGAGACAAAACTACGAAAATCAACACAGAAAATATCTATAATTCTAGTATTGGTTCAATTTTACATTAATTTGTTTGTTACATAAAGCATATTTTGCATAATTACAGAACTTCTTACAATAAAATGTTAAATTAATCTTTTATTGACAGATAATTTCACGTCACAGAAACATTCTTCATTATGTGATGTAGAAAAAACATTGAGTATAGCTTTGCTGTCTCACGTGGTAGGAAGTTTCTAGTAAAGCTAAAGTTTGTCAAATAGAATTTTATCTGATTACAGCCATAGTTTCTGTGTATTTTGAAGCACAGGTTTCATTCTAAATGTGCTCTTAAATAAATGTACTCTGAAGCAACTGGCTGTCTCTCTCCAAAGATGAGACTGTCTGGCTGTTCTAAAACTACACTGTGGCCTTTGGAGGAAAAACATGCAAACTGTCTTCAACACATTTCATTGCAAACAACAGTGACTGGGCCAGAATTCCACCTTTCCATGAAACCATGACTTGCTATGTTGCTTGTTTGCAGTTGTTGCGATGATTAAAATCAACTATCATCAACATACAGTGAGATATCAACACAGAAAGCAAATGTATATGTTGAACAGGACCGGGCCCAGTATGGAGCCCTGCGGGACACCACCTGATAGACATAAGGGGTTAAATTTACAATTGCTGGAGCAAAAGAGTGGTAGGATTTAATGGTAAAACGTGATGTGCAGACCTTTAACTGCTTCAAACTTAGCAAGTGCAGGTGTTTAGAACGGTCAGATGCTTTCATAAAGTTACTGATTCAGCTCCACGATGAGCAGCGCAAGCTTGACGACATTTGTGACAGCAGTGCAAGGGTCAAACCATAATAAATGTGTAACAATCACGGCGGGTGGGAGAAAGTGTGCGTCTGTACGATCAAGTTCAGGGCAGGAATAAGAAGCAGTCATGTGTAAAACACTGAGAAGAGGATTATCTGGGACCAGGCAGTGCTCTGACTAACACACACACACACATGCACAAACACACACTTAGATTCAGTAGTTAATATTGAACAAAAGTTGCTTCCTACAGTTAGACGCTGCAGCACAAAGTCAGACGTTCTGGTTTTCTCAGGTAAATAAACAGCCATCAGAAAAACAGTGTTGCCAGACGAGCATCCGGCGAAGTTGCTTAATAGCATAAAGGGTCACACACAACAAGTACTGAGGGACACTTATCCATAAACTGTAGTTCTCTTCTACATTTCTTCTTCTTTTCGGTTTTGATATCATTTCCATTTCATTCTGCTTCCTTGCTTTTAAGGAGGACACACTGCACTTCCTCTACATGTACAGTTAGTCACTTTCCAGATTCACATTGTACACAAAAAACCATATGATGAGCCAATACATTTCAGATGATTTACAGAATAAGTCAAGAATTAAGAAACATTTTGGGTTTCTTATCACATTTCAGACAGTTTAACCACAGCTAGTGTTCCTCAAATTTAAATCACAGTTTGGTCTAAATAGACAAAATGATCCAGTAGTTTCCAAACGGATCCAAAAAATAGAAGAAAATCCAAACTTTTAAAAAATCGAATTATGTCACAGATTTGTGGAACCAAAACTCCCCTAATTGTCCATTCTAGTGGTTTTTTTTTAGTCTAGTTGACTAAACTAACTAACTGTTTGTAGGATAAATTCATTGAAATTGGCTCCACTGGGACCCACAAAAGCAGCATTTACTACTTAATCCAACACCACTACATCCATTTTCTTTACTCTCAAAACCACAGTCTATAACAGGATTTTATCATTTTACAGCCGTGTTTTGCAGAACAATCTCGCAGAACAAGCGACTTCTCTTTAATCACGTCTTAAAACCATTTTTTATAGGCTTGCTTTTATATAATGTTGTATTTTTTTTTTCTTTTTATTGTTTTAACTTAATTCCACCATCATGTTGCCTTGTGTTTTTTGGCCTTGATATATGACCTCTTGTTATAATTTTGCCGTCTGTGTACTTTGCTTTTGTGCGGTCAGTGAAAACAGAATGTTAACTCTTGTTTTTAAAAATTCTACAGTTCCTTTTCTTCTACTACTTCCTTTTTTTTAATATACTAATACCGTAGTTTTAGTGAAGTTGGTTGTGAAATTCAAGATGTTTTCTTCCATAGGGTTTGTCTCTTTTTTATTCTGTGTGTATCGGTATCCTTTAAGCAAACTTTCTTCGTCTCCAGCTCTTCTTCCATCACTTACAAACACACCACCGGAGTCCTCTTACACTCACGTCTCACTCCTGTAGCATCAAATAACCTCCTGTGAGACTCGAGCTCGTTGCAGCCGTGACTCAGGCCTTCGCTCTGACTCAGCGGGACAGAATTCCTTTGAATCCTTAACACACAAGAATGCAATGAGGCTCCACCTAAACTATGTTTATATTTAGCTCTGATTCATGGTTGCAGGTCACGGATTTAAAAAAGAAAAAGCATTAAAATGCCTCTCTAATCAGACCAGATAAATCGAGCTCCAGTGAAGTGCCCTGGAGAACAGGGGGGGTGATTTGACCGTGACTCTGGGTGACTTTGTGTTGCCCGCTGGGGGGGTAAAAGAGAGGCAGGAAGAGCGAGTAAACATGCTGCCTCGTCTTCTGGCTTTCTGGATGGACTTCCAGTGAACCGTCCTGCCGTCCTGCCTAGCTCTTCTCCCCCTCCTTCCTCCGTTTCCTCTCTCTTTTGTTGTGCTCCTTTTTCCACAAGTTACTTCTCTTCGCTCTTCACTGGACTGATGCGCGACATGTTGACGAAGCAGCTTTAACTGGAACAGATACGATGTACTGGCTGTGAGATCTTGCAGCTCTCTCTGTTTCTTTATCTGCCCTTAACTCCACCTACACCTCTCTCTGTGTTCTCCTTGTTCCTGGACTTTTTCTTACTTTTTCTTCTCCTCCACGACTGTGCTGACACAGTTGCAGTGTGGTCGGCGCCAGTTTACACAGCTGGGAAGCCGAAGCTCTCCTTATGCGCGCGCGCACACACACACACACACACACACACACACACTCGAGCTCTCCTCAGCTTGGGTCAATATAAACAAGAAATCTCTCTCTTTTTCTCTCGTTTTCTCCCCAACACAACCTCAAACGGTGGCACACAAAGGCAGATCTTCTCGACTGAATACAATAGTGAATGCTGTGCAACTGACTAGAACTCTTAAGTAAATAAACGCTTACAGATAAGAGAGACAGACAGCGATGGGAGAACAATTGGGAGTCTTTTAAATAGTACATAAAGTAAGAAAAACAATGCCACAATGCCTGTGTTGCTTAGTATATTGTTTCACGTGGATGCTGTTTTAACCATCTTAATGTCGAGTCATTTCATTTAGAAGAAGATGCTGATCATATGTTCATCACATCTTCATTTGACAAGACTCTAGTTATTTTAGATTAGATTAGGTACAACTTTAGTCGGGTACAAGACAACAAAATGCAGTTTAGCTTCCAGCCAGAAGTGCAAAAGCAGCGGTAAAGTGCATTGTTTATAATATGTTACCGTATGAACACACTAATATATGACTACATAGATGTGGAAGCACTATAAAATAGATAATCTAAATGTACAGGGAGATATGAATAGAGG